TTGTTGTGTATTGGGCCCTGTGTTTGGTACAGTAGATTTTTTTTAAAAAGTCATGCTCCTTGCCCCAAGATATTCATCTAGAGAGGGAGCTGGACACACAGATGATTGTCAGTTCTAATACAGCTTAGTGAGTCATGGAGAAGCAGTCAAGCTCTATGGTTTGATGCATGGGCTTTAGGATCAGAAACTCTGAGTTTGAAGCCCAGTTCTGGGATAGCCTAAAACCCTGGCCCAGTTACTTAACCTCTCCAAGTCATAGCTTCTCCACTGATCAAGTGGCAGTAATCACAGGATATGCCTTACAGAACTGTTAGAAGGATTAAATGAGATAATCAATGAAAAGTGCTCAGCCCAGAACCTGGCAAAATAAGCACTGAATTGGTAACTGTTTTTAGGCTTTTGTGAGCTGATTGTACAGTGTGAGTACAGGAGAAGGTGTGGTAAGATCTCAGAAGAGGGCCACCTCACCCACTTGACTTTATGTACCCTGTGTTCAGGGAGAACTTAGTTAACCTTCCCAACTGCCGCTTGCCATAAATACTATCAACTTCTGGTCTTTTCCAATCCAAGTGGAATTTTATTTCAGTCCTGTGAAGCTCTGAGAAGAGGTATTCATCTTAATAGCCACAGTGAGTGCTCAACAAAGGAAAATAAATGAGCAGAGAAGAAGGCAACCATGAGAAACAGATGCATTTATCAATGTTTGGCTCCACCAAGAAGACCAGATTCCACTATGAACTGATTTGTCTGCAGGTTATGTAGCACCCTGTGAAGCATATTGAACATGTGAGATAAATTCAGAGTGGTCTCATCCCTTCTGAAACAGAACTCTGCCTTTGAGTTACAGAGGTAGTTGATGTTAACAGGATCCCGACACTAAGGAGTAAGTTGGTGGCATTTGGGAGGAAGGCAGTTTGGCAGCATGGCTAAAAGTTTGGGTGGTGGAGCCAGAATGCATTTGCTTGCTGTGACCTTGGACACATGACTGTCCCCTCTGAGCCTCAGTTTCCTCATCTGTCACTAGGGGGGAGATCATTATAAGGATTTCACAGGATGACCAAGGGAGCTTAACAAGATAAAAATACACATATGACCATAGGTATGTGTGACCAGCACATACTAAGTTCTCAAGAAATATTAGCAGTTTTTCTTATAGTCAGGTCTTTTCCATGGTTGGAAAAAGACAAGGAGTGAACATTTCCATGACTTTTTTTCCAGAGGGGAGAGGGGCAGGGAAAGAACTGATAAGTAAATCTCCTTGGGGCACCTCCTAATAGGAAGCATTGCCAAAAGGAGCTGGGAGTAGTTTTCACAGAGTCCTGTGACTGTGATGACCTTCCCCCCGACCACCACCATTGCCCGCTCTCTGACCACACTAAACAGACAGGGTGGCCTTGGGCTCAGAGCCTGATTCATGAGCTTGTGACCCCTGTGGCTGCACAGGCCCCAGACGCAGACCCTTTGGTATCATTCATGCTCTTCATTCCTCTCTTGAAATTCTTAATTCTTTTATCTTTGACCTTGAGTCAGCTAAGTGGGGTCTTATGGAATAACATGCATGTGTTTGAACAGAGGAAATACGCAGAGAAAGGAAAACACTGTATTTTAGTGTCTTTAAGGGCACTTTTTCCTGCCTTTTGAACAAAGAGCCCACATTTTCATTTTGTGCCAGACCCTGGAAATAACATAGCTGGTCCTGATTACACTGAGGGCTTTCTCTTTTTTCCTGCTCCACTGGGCCGGGTCACCATTTTGAAATCTGGGGGATAAGCTGGGAGTCGGAAGCAACCAAGCAACTTGAGGTGAGCCAAGGGTCATGGTAGGAAGCCAGGGGCACAGCTGCAAGCCTGGTTGAAGGGAAAGGAAATCAGTGGTCAAGGGACAGAGTTGTCAGGACAGCCTCCAGCAGCTTGAACTCCATCCAGCTGATGGGGTCTCAGAGACCTTGCCCTGCCCCACGGTCTGAGTCATGTTGAATGCCTCATGAGCTGAGCAGCCTTGGGTGGCACCAGGGGTCCAGGCAGACTGGGTTCGTGCCCCCCAAACAGGCCAGAAAAATCCTTACACACCAGTGTCCAGGACAGTGTCCCAGGTATCCAGTGTGAGGAATGCCCAGGGACCTGGGATCAAGGCATCTTTGTGACTGTGATAGAGCACCTCATTTTAGAACATTCTTGGTTTCCATCAGGAATCTTCCTTATTTCCTTGACTAAGCATGATAAATGCCCAAAGAAATTCATAGCACAATTAATCATAAATAGTAATGATCACTGCCAAATTGTTAATAATGCTTGCTGTTGAATATTACAACATTAATAGCAGCAAGAGCTATAAATGGGAATTAAGAGATTTGGGTTCCAGCCCAAACCAATCACAGTTCACTGGAATACAATGGACAAGATCTTGAAGTTCTCAGTCTTCTCATCTTTGAAATGGACACAGTATGAACTTTTTACCTTGTGTAGTAGGAAGGGTAAAGTCCCTCTTGTTTGCTAGCAAAGGGTCAGATACTTAATAAGTGTTTAATATATATGTGTTGAATGAAGAACGCAAAAGATATCAGTGAGTGTCACAGTTTCTAGAATACATCTATGTATCATCATTTGGGTAAGGAAGGTAGTTCGAGTTTGAGGGCCTCTTACCCTGTCCGAAGCCTGCTGCTATTTATAACTATTCTCTGAAACTATCTTATTTTATCACTAAGAAAACTGAAGCTCAGGGACATTGACTCGCCCACGTCCTACAATTTGCCGGTGACTTAACGGGATTTGAATGAAGAGTGCTGGGTTCAGAACCTCACGCCTTGCCACGTTGCCTTTGCTAGGACGGAGGCTCCCCGTCTTAGGTGCTTGGGAGTAGCTGCAGTAGCTCATGAGCAAAGTGAGCTGCTTCCATCTGTACGTCTCACATTTTGCTGTTGCATCTGAAGCCTGTTGCTGCTTGTCCTGCCTCACGCGCTCTCCGTGTCCTCTGCCTTTCTCTCTGTGACTGTGGTGTTGTCTCCATGGTCCTCAAACACTTGGATCCCCGTGGAGCTGGACGGCCCCTTGTCTCCATTTGGTGCTCTCTTGCCAGCTCTCTAGGTACCTCATGTTTTTGAGTTAAGTTAGTGAGATTTCGCCTATTGTGTACAACCATGAGATTAGAAGCCAGGGTTCCATCATTTACAAATGAAGAAATACAAACAGCCAGCAAACATAGAGTAAAATAGTCAAGCCTGCTATTTACCACAGAAATGCCCATGAACACAACAGTGACAAAATTGGCCAGAAGAAAAAACGAATAGGAACACCCAGAGGAGGCAAAAAGCCATGTGATTTGCACTCTCCTTCCCATATGGTAGGAGGATAGTCACCACCTGTGTGGAAAGCATTTTGGAAATGGATGATCACTTCCAAACCATGAAAATCATCATTGATGAGCGCAGTTCCCACAACATTGTAGGAGCACTACCGTGTTTGTTGATGAATGAATGAAGAAATGATCTCCCATCTAACTCCCTGATTCCCAAGGAAATACACAGAAATGAAGTTAAAAAGTAATGTCCAACCCAATCTCAGTAATAGAGCAATGGTTAAATAAATTATGATGCATCCATAATATTACAATCATTAAAAATAATGTTCAGTGAGTAATCTATAATATGGAAATTGACTATTACGTAGGCAAACTGAGAAACATTTCTGTAGAAAATTATATCTATTCCTATTTCCTAATTTTGTAAAAGAATATATATTTGCATAATTTATTTATTCAACAAATATTTGTTAAGTTTCTTTTGTGTGCTAAGTACTGCGGTAATGCAAGATAAACAAAATACACAGTCATGCATTTATGGAGCTTACAGAATATGAGAGGATTCAGTTACTAAACAATCACCACAGTAAATCAGTCATTACAAATCTGTGATTCTTAGGAAAGAAAATTAAACAGTACGTTCAAGAGAGTTTAACACTGGCACCAAATTGAGACTGGGAGTTCAAGGGACGTATTCTCTGGGAAGGCTATTTAAGCGGAGCCCTGAAGAGTTCGCCAGGAGAGGAGTAGGGTGGAGAGAACACTGCAAGCAGGTGGAGCTATGCAGGCAGCAGCCGGAGGTAGCAGGATGGAGAGCCCATGACCCTCTGGTGGATGGCGGGGAGACTTCACCTGGGGTCTGGATGGCCCCCACACAATGGAGCAGGTTCCACGGAAGGGTTTAGGGCAGCAGCTCTGTGTAATCCACTCAGCACTTTAAGAAGATCACACTATTTCAGGTACAGAGTGTATGGAAGTGGCTCTGAGAATCATGCGAATGAATGAAAAGGTCACATGTCAGGGGCCCATCAGGGGCTCGTGTCAACCCAGACTGGCAAATGCCAGGTCAGCCAGGGGCTCCCCTCTCGGGAGATCCACTATGATTCCCAGAGATTGGTGAGTGGGGAAGGGGGTTTCCCTCATCACCTCCTTCCACCTTCATTCCTCTTTATCAGGGCTAAGCTTTCAGCCATCGCTCTAGTCAACATATCTTTGAATGTCAGTGGAAATAGGACTCCCTCCCAACCCCCTCCTAGTGAGGTCTCATTGTAAAGTCATGTGTTAGGTCCGGCCAGAGGAAGCGCCATCTCAAAAAATCTATAACAGCAGTTTCCAAGAACTAGGGATTGAGTCCTGACTACAAGAAAATGTTAGCAGTTACCCTGGAGTAGTTTGTGGGGAAAGCAAGTGCATGGGACAAAGTTCTCACCAACTTGCTTTCATGCTAATTCCAAGTGATTCCTTCTAGTGCTCTGTGAAGACCCCTGGCAACTTTCTGAGCATCTGTCTTGCATTTGTCTAACAAGTTAATTAACACTTTCTGTCATTCTGGCAGCTTGGGAGGGGAGGGAAGAGGGATGTGACAGCCAGTGATAATGCCTCAGGTTAACCCTGTGTTCACCCAACCCAAGAGGAAGGCAGGGCTAAGTTGAGCATTGTGACAGTGGAGGGCTCGCCAGTGACCTCTCTGATTCCGTCCACAGCTGGGGCACCCAGGGCGACTTCTCTACAACCCATGCACTGCCCGCTGTGAAGGTGAAGCTGTTCACGGAGAGCACGGGAGTCCTGGCCTTGGAGGACAAGGAGCTGGGACGGGTAAGTGCTCCCTAGAAACATGCCAAGCACACTTAAGAGTATACATGTAAAAAACGGATTTAGGATCTAGACTCGGTTGATCATCAGCAGTTTTTTCTACCTTCGTTCCTATCTGATGGGAGTATTCAACAGTCAGGCAGAATGCAGGACGATTCATCATTGTAGAGATAGCTCACTTGTGGTTGGGTGATTAGTACCCCTGGGCCCCGCCCGTTCAATACCAACAGAGGCCAGCACCAACTGTTTTGTCAACCAAAAACTGTCCCCCACATTTCTGAAACATGTCAAGGGGTGGTACCAATCCCTTTGAGCACCACTGAGATATTAATTCTTATTTGAATCCTTTCTTTTATGAATCATTTCTTCTTTCATCTCAGCTACCGACTGACTCTGCACCAAACAGCTAGTATTTTCAGAACTCCAGTTGACTTTTCCCCTTGCTGGCTTATAGTGCTCCCATGGCTCCACAGTGAAATCAGAGCTGGAGCACAACGGCCAGAGACCCATGTGACCTGGCCTCTGCCCACCTCCCCAGCCACCTCATTTTCTGTCCCCTCGCCCCTCGTCCAGATGCGCCGGCATCACTGGCCAGATTTCAGTCCCTCGAGTATGCCAGATTCTCCCTCATCTCAGGAGGCTTTCTGTCTGCCTGGGACCCTCTTCCCACCACCCAGCCCTGCCAGAGGCTGCTTGCTTCTCTAATCAATGCCGCCTCCTCCTCGGAGAGCCCTTTGGGGGCTGCCCATCCTCCTGCCTTTACCCCCTCAGTTCCTTCCCTGTTCACATCCTCCAGAATTTATCACTGAGAGAATTTACAGAAATTTTGGCTTCTATCTCCCCCACTGGACTGTAAAAATTCCAAGGAGATAGAAAGCAATTTTGTCCTTTTAAAAAAATTGGAGTGTAGTCAGTTTACAGTGTTTTGTTTCAGGTGTTCAGCATGATGATTCAGTATTTTCATAGATTACACTCAAATTTACAATTATTATAAAATACTGGATAGATTCCTTACGTTGTACAATATAGCCTTGTGTCTTCTTTATTTTATATATAGTAGTTTGTACCTCTCAATCCCCTACCCCCTTTTTTGCCCCGGCCCCCATCCCTCTTTCCCATTGCAAGAGAGAGACCATGAACATGAAACTGGACATTATTTTGTTTACCACCTTATACCTGTACCCAGAGCCCAGCACATTTCGTTTGCCCTGGTTGAGTGCATACTCCCTTCTGAAAGCTCTGTGACACAAACCAAGACACTTAACCTCTCTGAGCCTCTGACACATCATCTCTGTCGTGCAGGGACAGAATACCTCAAGGCGCGCCTAAGGTACACGTGCCTAAGAACACCAGTAAGAGCACGTTAACCAGACTTTCTTTTTCATACCTTTGTTTTTTCATTTCCTTTAACTGGTTTTCATCTGTAGAACTCTATAGAATCGTATTACTAGGACCTAGACCACAGATTGAAATAAGACAAAAAGTAAACAAGACTAATAGCAAAAAGACCTCTCCCCACACACACGAGAAAGAAGGGGGATTAAAGTAAGAAGAAGTTTACCTGTTTTCTTTGTGAAATGACAAATACTCATTTCCATCCCTAGGGGAAGAGACACACAGAATGGGGGAAGGAGCCTGTCTTTTCTTTTTCTTCAAACCTTTCTTTTTCCGTGAAGCCTCGAATCAGGAGTCATGAGTGTCTCAGAGACCTAGAATATTAGTGTTAGCAGACTCAAGTTCAGGAGGCATCAACCTGAGTCCATTCCATGGGCCTCAGGAGCCCCTTGAAATTGTTTATAGATGTTGGGGCGGGGGAGGTAGTAATGCTTGCTAATCCAAGTGTTCGCTAGCTTCCTAAAACTGTTTCCGCTCAGAGAAGCTAAAACCCACTGGTCTAGTCAAAGCCTTTTACTTTAAAGATGAGAAACTGATTGCTGTGGAAGGCAGGATCCTCCAGGGTGTGCACGTGCACACACACAGCCACCCCTCGTTCAGGACCCATCCGCTGTTGCATGTTTACCACTGGCCAGGCCACAGCCCCTCACTGACTCTTCATCTGAACCCTAGGGATCAGGTACAGTTCGTGCCCTCCTCTGTTCTTGGGCCCAGAGGAGGTAAGTGACTTAGCAGGAATTATGTCACCTCATCTCTAGGGCTATTTTTACTACACCATTTTGTTCATATGCAAAAATAAAACTCCTCTGCTGTTGGGGTGAAGACCGTGAGTTTGCCACAGCCCCTCCCAGCCATTAATCTCTTAACGAATTATACTCTCCTCCAGTCTCATTGCAGATTCCGCCAGAGAGCAGTTTACCCCTCCTTCCTGCCTGGGAAACTCCACCTTGCAGTGGAGCTGGCCTGCCTGGCCCTAGTGCTGGAGGGGCGGGCGCCCTCTGCCGGCAGCACCCCCACAGGCAGCAGCTGGGTGACAGAAGTGGTCTTTTTAACAAGGAGCAGCCGAGGATGAGATGGTTAGATAGCATCACCCACTCAGCGGACATGAATTTGAGCAAACTCGGGGAGATGGTGGAGGACCGAGGAACCTGGTATGCTGCAGAGTGAAGCTGTGCAGTCCATGAGGTTGCAGAGTCAAACACAACTTAGCAACTCAACGACAGCAACAAACAGCCAATTAATGGGGCTTCCCAGGTGACTCAGTGGTGAAGAATCCACCTACCAATGCAGGAGATACAGGCTCAATCCTTGAGTCAGGAAGATCCTCTGGAGAAGGAAATAGCAACCCACTCTAGTGTTCTTGCCTGGGAAATCCCATGGACAGAGGAGCCTGGTGGGCTACACATACAGCCCATGGGGTCGCAGAGAGTCGGTCACGACTTAGTGACTGAGCACGCAGACCTAGCTAGTTAACAGCGTTGTGATAGGTTCGGGTGCACGGCAGAGTGATTCAGCCATACGTATATACACATGTAGCCGTTCTCCCCCTGGGAGGGGAGTTTGGGGGAGATTCCTTCAACTAAGTGTTTCTATGCATTGATTCTTCCCAAGTTTAGCAGGAGACAGCCACATTCAAAGATTCTGGTGCTAAGTTCCTTCATGTAATAGTATTTAGTTGGTTCTATTTGTGTTTTTATGTTTCATTTTTATTCATCTTGCTAACTAAAAAGTAACTTATTCATATACTAAAAAAATAATAATCAAAATAGATATGTAATGAAAATGAATGACCCCACCCACCTAACTTTAGTATCCTTTACCAGAGAAAAACCTTGTTTTTGATGTGTTGTGTATTCTTCCCCGGATATTCTTAGGAGGTACAAACATAGTATGTACAAACATATTTGCATATATCTCTCTTAAAAAAGAGAGAGAAAAAGAGCATAGTTGGATACATATTGCTCCGCACTTCACTCGAAATACCAGCATATTTGGAGATTAGTCTGTATCACCACATATTGACTTCCCTCTTGTTTTCATAGCCACGTACACTATGTACATGTATTTGTTTAGACTGTCTCCACTCTCTGGCTGTGTAAACAGTGCCTCTGTGAATTACCTTGTTTATTTCTTTGCATGTTTGTGTACATAAATAGGGTAAATTTCAAAAAACTACCTTGTTGCATGAAAATTGAAATTTGACCGATAACTACCAAATTGTCCCCTAAAGAGTACATGTGCTCAGTCGCTCAGTTGTGCCCGACTCTTTGTTGCCCCACTGACTGTAGCCCACCAGACTTCTCTGTCCATGAAATTTTCCAAGCAGGAACACTGGAGTGGATTGTGATTTCCTACTCCAGGGGGTTTTTCCAACCCAGGTATCCAACCCGTGTCCCTTGATCTCCTGCATTGGCAGGCAGATTATTTACCACTAATGCCAACTGGGAGGCCCCAAAGAGTGTACCCCACTTTATAATTCTCAAAAGGCATGAGGGAATGTCTGTTTCCCCACACTCTTGCCAACACTGCAATGCTGTCAAACACATTCATCAAATAGGATTGCAGGCCTGCCATGTCTGGTCATGTGTGCCATGCACAGAGCAAACAGGAATGACAGGAAAAAGTCCGTAACCTCACAAAATGTAAGGGGTGGAGACAAAAACCCAGAAATTACAGGGTAGTGTGGTGAGTGCTCTGGTAGAGAAAGATGCCTGGGGAACACATAGCAAGGGGATATATTCTAGTCTGAGGAGCAGAAACACTGACCCAGGAGAATGCAGAGATCAGGAGAGACTTACAGGCTAAGTGTTGGAGGGGATCAGTCAGGTAAATAAAGCCAGGTAAAGACTCAGCGTAAAGCCATCCACCAGAAAGATATGTCTGGATGCCCAGGTACTGAAGGGAAGCTGGGGCCGGCTGGCATGCAGCTTACTGCTCGGGATGGCATGTGTTCCCGCATCAGCATTACCACATCAAAGCACAACACACATGGACTGCGGCTGAGATGACAAAGTGCTTGATTAGCAGCCTGGAATGTCTAGATGAGGTGTCTGGACTACTCAGGACTCATGTGTACTCATGTGCCCCCAGAAGGACCCTAATAATTCAGCGGAGCTGACACTTACAAAGGATTTGGCAGCCTGTCGGGCACATGGCAGGGTGGGGATGAAGATGGAGGAAGACTGCAGTGACCTCATCTCTCTATCCACCCTAGAGACGAGGTCTCCGCAGGGAGTGATCAAATGGGGGAAGAAGCCTTTGTGGAGCGGACAGTGATGATCTGTGGCCATTTGTGTCAGCGAATGGACAGCATATTGCCAATGGGAAATGTGCCCAGGATCCATATGGTGGATGGCCTGTTAATGAGCTCTGGGTACCCAGTGCCTGTTTCGATTTTGCCAAATGAGCAGAAGCAGAAGGAGGCCCTGGGCCTTACCTGCTGCTGTTCTGGCCCTCGTGGTGTTTCCCTTATCAGCTCCGCCCCATCCTTGTTTCCCAACACATCACCCCCTCTCCCCACTCATCACCTCTCGGGCCAAACGAGCACAGCTGACAAGGTCAGCTTCACGAAGATCAGCAGGGCCCGCTCTCTGCCTCCACAGTCTGGGCTCTCAGGATGTGGAACATGATGGAGGTGACCTAGAGGGACAGGCGTTATCTTGAAAGATAACGAGAGATCTCTACAACCCAGTGGCACCATGACTGGTTTCCTTCCGGTGGCCCAAGGCATGTCACAGTTCACTAGTGCCAGGTAAGTGGACTGATGACATTTTGTGATAGGAATTTCCACTAAATCAGCCCTCACAAAATGAGCAAATGACCAGAAAGATTACTACAGAAGAGCTATGATTTAAAGACAGTACTGGTATTACAAGTCTGTCAAAAAATGTGAAAACAGTGGAGGTGACATCAGTCCTGCTAATGAAGAGTTCTGCCATCCATGTCATAAGATAAAAACAATGCCAGTGTGCTCAGGATGAGATGTCCATCAAAACAGTATGAAATTATCCATTAAGTCCTCTTGAACCACGGATTCACATCTGGTATCACTAACAGTGAGCCTTGTATTACTGTACATGGTTCCTTAACATATAGCTAATAATAGTAGAGAGCCACCAACATTAGCAAGATGTTTAAAACTAGAGTTTGAGGGCACTTCCCTGGTAGCCTGTGCTTCCATTGGAGGGTCACAGGTTCAATACCTGGTCAGGGAGCTGAGATCCCGCAAGGATGGCACTGTCAAAAACATTAATAAAGTAAAAAATAAAAATAGAAGTTTTTAAAAAATCTTTAACCCATCTTTTAATAACTTCTGTTTGTGTGTGTTTTAAAATATATGTAATGCAGTATTAATATAAAGTAAAGATACAACATAAAAAATACATGGATATATATTTTATATACATTTATATTAATTTTTATATTACTAGTAATCTATTTACAGGTTTTTGGCTACTTGCTTAAAAAAATTTTACTGAAGTCTGTAATGTTCCAAAAATGTTGGCAGCCTCAGTTTTGAAAAATCAGGGCTTCTTGTATTTTAGTCAGGTCTTTAGACCTTAAAAGGACTCAAATGTTGGAGTTATCAAGAATGTACAAATTCTGTTTCATCAGAAAGACAGAACTGAGTGGATTAATAAAAGGGTCAGGCCTAGAATCAGACGGGGTCAAAAATCAGCAGGCAAGACATGTCGAAGTGGGCTGATTTTATTTTCCTGCCATGATCTCCTATTCCGCTCCAGGCCCTTGCTCCTCAGTCCCACAGGAAGCTGTGTGCTCCTCCCTCCAAGTGCAGGCCAAGCCTGCATGACCGCACTGAGGCGGACAGCCCCTGGAAGGCCGGAGTGTCCAGCCCTGAGACTCTGACCGCCTCCTCCCTCGTCCTCCTGCAGACTGCAGGGGGCTGCCTTTGCTGCACCTGGAGAAAAGAGAGGCTTTGAAAACAGACCAAACAGCATGCACCAAACCAGGGCTCTCTACCATCCCAGAAGCAGAGGCCCGGCTTTGGTCATGCCTGTGTTTGGCTCACATTCCCTTTGTTTAGGGGGTTTTCCAGATACTTCACTCCTCTTGAATGCGTGCTCCCTGGACCCCAGGTGGCTCCTGAGTAAGAACTCTGTCACATCAGGAAAAAGTGGATTTATAGGAGAAGTGGGTCCCCTTCTGGCTTCACTTACAGCACCTGTGACAGTGAGAGGTGGGACAGAAGACCCAAGTCACTTTGTCATCTCTGAAGCACCCTGGTGACAGGCCTTTCCTCAGAGCCTATCCTTCTTCAAGCTGTGTGTGCTTCCCTCTGGGCCAGGACAGAGCTGGGTGCTCTGTGATGTCACATCCAGGTTGAAGTGTGGGACTCTAAGCCTGTCCCATCAAATCATGTCCCTTCCTTCTTCCCCTGCAACCCTAATGGGACTTCTCCTCTCGAGATAGCAGAAGAAATCCTGAAGAATGGGAAAAGGAATAGACGTTCTCTCTACTATAGAAGGATGTTTCTTCCTTCTTTGCAGCCATCTTTGAGGAGAGTAATATGTGGAGTTCATTCTTAGTTCTGTGTTGCTTTACTCAGAAGCATGATCACAGAAATTGTGATCCCTGCCCTTTCAGAATTAGCCAGGGAGAGAGAGAAGAAAACCAAGAATGCCACTTCTGTCCTCAGGCCGGGCTGCGTGGCACCAGTCAGCCGTAGTTGGTAGGTGGATCCTTGGATTTAAGGCTGATGTTTAGGCCTTAACTGCCTTCCTGCTGGCCGTGGGGCATGGGTAAGACCCTCAATTCTCAGCAGCAAAGTTTGTCATCTGTGAAAACATATCCATATCGTGTTCCTATTCTCTGGCTAAGATGGTTATCTTTTTTCCCTGCAGGTTATTCTCCATCCCACCCCCAACAGCCCCAAACAGTCAGAGTGGCACAAAATGACCGTCTCCAAAAACTGCCCCGATCAAGACCTCAAAATCAAACTTGCTGTCCGAATGGATAAACCTCAGAATATGAAGCATTCTGGGTAAGTGCGCCTTCTCTGAGGGGTAATTTCTTCATCCATTTCTTTATTTAAAAAAAAAGTTCTTTGGAGAATGACATGGAAGAAAATATAAAGAAATATATGAGATTATTAAAATACATGACTATGATATTTACTATAGACTTCCTTAATCCTTATGATTACTGTATTTGCATTTTTGCTAAACTGTCAGGATAGTTGTTTCTTTCTCCTTTCTAAAAAAATTTCCAGTACAGTTCAAAACCTTCCCAGCCCCAGGCTCTGGTTTATGAGATTTTACTGGCTTCACGTACCTTCTTAAAGGCATCTAGATCTTTCTGACTCTCCGACACATGCACTTACACCTTCATTAACAACCACATCCAGGAGGTGTGAGCAGTTGCCTTAGGCAACCTTCAAACAATCAATTCACATTGAATCAGTTTTAGTGTTTAGCGTAGCATTTAAATTAACCACAAAGTGGAAAATTTGTCTTAAGTTTCTTAAGATTTGAGAGGAATGACCAATAAAGTAATTTCAAGTAGGATTAAAAAAAATAGATAAAACATAGTTTTATTTTATAGATCAAACCAGTGGTTTGTACAGGAAATGTTTATTGACACGTGGGTTTATACTGAGCGCCATCACCCACAGCTAAATTGCTTGGATCCCACAAGCTCAGAAAATGTGATCACTTAGAAAGGAGTTGGACCGTTTAACTCTGATAAGGGGAATGCTTAACCAGTGAAAGGGAGTGGGTTGTTTTCCAAGGATTCTGCACGTACCACAGCCAACCAGCTATCATTCTGCTTTAAGTGGTAAAATTGACATAAAAATTGAAGCTTGGTTTTGTGCTAGAGATTTGGGGAATTCATAATCCAAATACCATGGACTAGCCACTGGTTAAGACAGATTTAAACTGAAGCCCATGAGAGATCCAGAGGGATGAGAGGTCCAGAGGTATGTGGTCAGGATAGGCGGTTCACATCCCAGCAACTGGGCAGACCACAGCAGCCTGTGATCCGAGTAAAGATCAGCACTCTGGTCTTGGTGCTTCCAGATTCTAGGGAACAGAGAAGGCTCAGGATTTGAGGGAAAGATACCAGCCAGGGCATTGGAGAGGGTCAGGTATGAGGAACTCCAGAGAAAGCAAAGGGCTCCCACAAACTAAGGACCAGGTCCTGAACCTGGGCTCTGGCTGAGATTTGAGGAATTTCCATGGCATTATCTGCTAGCCAGACTGTTCCTAGAGTGTGAGGTGGGATTTTGGCAAAGCTCTTCTGCCTGTGGCCGTGCAAAGGCTGTAGGAGAGTGAGCCATGGCTCTGCTATACGTTCTGTCCTTTTCCAACCATCCATCATGGAGGGCATCCAGCTTCACTTCAGTTACATTAGCAACTCATGAAAATGATTGTGTCATGTTTCTGAGGTCAGCTTTTCCTCCTTATCATATTCCTGGCACTTATTCCCAAAATGTTAAATGGAATTTCTCCCTAAAATCTTTTCTTGTTCAATATAAACATCCTACGTTTAAGACAAAGGATTTGAGAATTCTGTTGGGTTCTTCTGGCACCCAGAAACAAATTTTGGGTCTGAAGCAGACATTGTCTCATAAATACTTGGTAAATATTTGCTAACGGAACAAGAACATGAGTGAGCAGTATGGAGGGGATAAGGGCGAAGTGAAGAGGATAAAGCAGACAAAAAAGAGAATATGAATAACTGTATTTGTCCTTAAATATGCTTCAAAAAAAAGCTTCCTTAAAAAGATCAGTAGCTCACCCCACTTTCTAGGCCCCTTTGAAGCTCTGAAGTAGGAATTTTATAAACACACTGTTCTTTAATCCCCACTGCAAACACTTGACATACACATCCCTTTCCTCATCAGACAAATTCCTATTTCTTACACTCTCTTCATTTCTCTAACCAGTCTGAGTTAAGTAATTTTTCTCTTGATTCAGTTGTAGAATTATTAACTTATTTCAGGCCATCTTGATCTTATGGATGACGGGATAAATCTGTAACTCACTTCTGATGGGCTCCACAGCTATTTCAGTTTACTAAGCTGCCATTGAAAAACTACCCCTGCCAGGAAATATACCAGGAGGGCATAGAACTGACTCTGAGCAGCACAGCTCTGAAAAGTGAATGGTGGTTGCCTTAAAACATGGTCTGACCCACTGTGCCCTAAAATCAGAATGACCTTAGCTACTCAAGGGATGATGCAAGGAAAAAAGTGTTCTCAACTATATATATATATTTTTTGCATTTGAACTTAAAATAGCTTTATGAAGCCCTATTATATGGGGAAGGAGGATAGAAATATCAGAATAGTGTCACAGCTTAGAGAATGAGAGAAAGGAATTTTTAAGAATTACAGCTGAGATTATATTGGGTTGGTGAAAAACTTTGTTTGATTAGTGAATACATTGTTCAGTGAAGTTCTTGGTGAAAATGAAAAATATGTTTTTAATTTTTACTTAAAACTGAACGAACTTTTTGGCTGACCCAATAAATTGTACCTAGTTCAATGTTTGTTAAAATTCTAAAGGAAACATTAGGATTACTATGATTGACTCTTTTTTTGTGTGGACTGTGGTTCCTGGAATGAGCCACTGGGCCATTTGAATAGCTTTCTTTATTGAATGGGAAATTGTCAGTGAGAAAATCAGCACTGGTCTTTGGCTTTAATATATGAGTATTGGGGATGTTTGAGAATGAGCAGCTCTTCAGTGACTTTCTAATTCTTCATCTTTTGTATCCATATGATGCTTTCAGGTTCTGGAACTGCATGCATTTGCATCATCTCGTTTTATCCCTGAAACAGCCTCCCAAGGATTAGGTATCATTATCCCTCCATCTCAATAAATAGTCTTTCCCTTCCCTCAGCTGCTCAGACCAAGATCCTTGGAGTCATTTCTGACATGTTTCTGTCTCCCACACTTCATCTCACCCATCATCAAGTCCTCTTCATTCCACCTTCAAGGTAAATCTAGAGTTTAGCTGCCCATCACCACCACTGCACCCCCTCACTTGTTGCACTTGCCTCGTAAGCAGTTCGCTGGCTGCTGCCCTTGCTTCCTATCAGCTATCTCCCACTCTGGAGCCAGCGTAATATTTTTAAAAAACACGAGTCAGATCCTACCACCTGAATGCTGGAAAATCTCCAGTGATTCCCCAAGCTCATCTAGAATGAAGGTCAGCATTGTTTCCATGGCCCCAAGGCCCTATCTGATAAAGACTCCATTGCCTGTCTGACCTTGATCATGGCTCCAGCCTCACAGGCCCCCTTGCTCTTCACCAAAGACTTCACGTGTACCCCTACTTCAGGGCCCTCGTCCCCCCTGTTTCCTCTGCCTTTGAGAAGTGCCTTCTCCCCCACCCAGATACCCACACGACTCCCCTTGATTTCTGCACCTCTCTGGCACCTTATCAAATGCCTTTCCTGGTCCACCTGTCCTCTCTGCCTTTTTCTCTCTCTCACCCTTCTTTGTTTTCACCAGAGCACTTACAGTCATCTCACATACCAGCTATTACTTCATTTATTATTTTGTTGTCTGTCTTCCCCACTGGACTTTGAGTTCCTTCTCAGCAGAGGCATTTGTCTTCTTTGTTCAAAGAAGCTAGTACAGGGCCTGACTGTACTAAAAGTTCAATAAATTTGTTGCTATATAAATGAATATGGATGAATGAATGTCCACTTTACAAATAGGAAAACTGAGGTTTATCGTGGTGAGCACACTTGCCCAGGACAGAGTAAGCATCAGAGTCAGTTCTAGGACTGTGTTATTTCTTTCCATTTGAAATGAAAGAAATCAACTTGATGGAGGACCTGAAACATGAATAAAATACAAAGCTTCCCATAGCTCCACTAAGAATTCATTCAGTGAACCACAGTCCACTCAAGCAGAAGTAATTTACAGCAATTCTTCTTTTTTTTGGCTGATTTTTTTCATTTAATAAAAACTATAAAACTTCAAAAAGTTCAACAAATACATGTTTAAGAAACATGGGGAAAAAAAACTAGAAAAACAGTGTAAGTATAATGTTAATAACCAGTGATAGAGAGCAAATCATAAAAGCAGCCGGAGGACAACAAAATGTTGCACATAGAAGAACAAAACAGTAGAGGGGAGGAGAGGGTGAGATGTGTGGAGAGAGTAATGTGGAAACTTACATTACCCCATGTAAATAGATAGCCAATGGGAATCTGCTGTATGGCTCAGGAAACCCAAACAGGGGCCCTGTATCAACCTAGAGGGATGGAATGGGGAGGAGATGGGAGGGAGGCTCAAAAGGGAGAGGATAAAAGTATTCCTATGGCTGATTCATGTTGATGTTTGACAGAAAACAATAAAATTCTGTAAAGCAATTATCCTTCAATTAACAAATAAATAAATCTAAGAAAGAACAAAACAGTGCTTGTTAGAAACATTAGAAGTGAGGGCCTTCCCTGGTGGTCCAGTGGCTAAGACCCCATGCTCCCTATGCGAGGGGCGCAGGTTTGATTCCTGGTCAGGGAACTAGACCCCACATGCTGCAACTTAGACCTAGTGCAGCTGAAATAAATAAATGAATATATATTTCAAAATGCTTAGAGAAAGAAACATTACAAGTGGGAAGACAGAGAGCAACACCTTTAATGTACTCAGATCTATATACCCAATGAAAACATCTTTCAAAATGACTGACAAAAAATTGACAAACCATTAGCAAGACTCATTAAGAAACAAAGAGAGAAGAACCTTATTAACAAAATTAGAAATGAAAACGGAGAGATCACAACAGACAACACTGAAATACAAAGGATCATAAGAGACTACTACCAGCAGCTCTATGCCAGTAAAATGGACAACTTGGAAGAAATGGACAAATTCTTAGAAAAGTATAACTTTCCAAAACTGAACCAGGAAGAAATAGAAGATATTAACAGAGCCATCACAAGCAAGGAAATCGAAACTGTAATCAGAAATCTTCCAGCAAACAAAAGCCCAGGACCAGATAGCTTCACAGCTGAATTCTACC